CGGCGGCGTCGGGATCAGCAGTCGGGATTACTGCCGACGCTTCTGTCAGGTGAGGCGCCCGTTGGCCGCCCGGACTTGTCACCCGGGTCCTGGGCCTCTCTGCGTCTCCTGGCCTTCTCGTCCATGAATCTGGTCTATGTCCAGTGCCCGCTTCTCCCCAACAAGGAGGGTGAGGCTGAAGCTCCCTCCTCCACCTATCCGGCTTGGGGTGGGGGGCGGGGAGCAAGGCGAGGGTGACCCACGGGCTTAGGGTTGCTGAGAAAGTGAGAGTTTGTCGGGAATGGAGGGGCTGGAAAGAAGGAAGGTCGGCTGTCCGGAAAGCTCTGTCCTGACATGCCATCCCTACCCCAAACAGACCTTCCTGCCCCAGAGTCCCGCCTTTCTTATGTTTCCTACCCTGCCTGGTCTTTCTCACCTCATCTGGCACCTCTGGAAACATTTTCTGCCTTCCCCTCTCCGCCGATTGCCCCCCGTGTTCTCCCCTTTTTTCCGGGATGGGAGACATGCCATCTTTCCTGTCACTGCCACCGTTCACCCTCTTCTAGGGTCTCCTGTCATCCCCTCACAAGATCTCGCTGGGCCGGCTCTCCAGTTGGCGTAGACGCTGACCCACGGTGATTTAGTTACTTTTTTCGGACAGAGGGTGCGTTAAGGCAGTCTGATTGTCATTTTTTTTTTTTTTTTAACCTCCTTCCCTTGACACACGCACTCTTTTCTAATTAACTGCTCATAATGAAAGTAATTTTCCTTAAACTCTTGCTCCGGTTAACATTACCAATCTCCCTCACCCTTCAATTTATAATTTATTTTATTTAGCCTGTAAAATACAGTGTCTGAATGGTGACATTAAATTATTTACTCAGTCGACCGTCACAGGGGTTTGATGTTGTTCAAAGTGTTTGTAATCAAATATGGCAAATATACCCCTACTTGTTTAGGGGTAAAGTTTGAGTACTCTGAATTCTCATCTACTTGCATTTATAAGTTAAACGGTTTGTTCCCATTCACAACAGTCTTTTTTTGCAAGCTATTTTGGAAAAAAAAAAAAATTAACTGCTCCTTTTCCATCCCATCCCTTTTAAAATGTATCTATTATTTTGGACGTACAGGGTTCAGATTCTGGCTCCACCATCTCCTGGCAGAAATTACTACCTTGAACAAGTTACTCTGTGTCAAAGAGGAATAATAGTTAAATAAATATGTGAAGGGTTTGAATCAGGTAGCTATTAATTTCTTTCTGATAACAAGTAGGAAATAAAGTTAATGAGAAGTGGGCATCATGTTTGTTGACATTTCCTTCACTGCTTGTACGGAATTTCTTTCAATGCTTGTCAGGGAAAGCTTGTAAGAATTCCCTTACAAGCACTGAAAGAAAAAGGATGGAGGTGACATTTTTCAGGTAAGTTTTTAACGCTTTAATTTAAATTGCCTTTTGAATTCATGTTTTCCCCCAGTGTCATAAAGAAGTTGGTTTGAAGGGTGTGTCAGTTTCTTTGGCATTGCTATTTAATGACTTTCTTGAAAATGTATTTTTATTTTGATAATTGGCATTCACTTTTATTTTGAAAATTGGCATTCAGCGTCTTGTTTTCAGAGCACTTGTTTTTTCTAACCATACCTTTTACATCTAGAAACTATGCTATTGGTAGATTTTGTATCTATAGGAATTGTAAACTTCTGAAGATTAGGATGCAATTTATATTTTTAATATATTCAGGGGCTGAAATCTATTTAATTTTTTTGTTTTGCTTTTTATATCAATAATGAGCAACTAAAATTTTAAAATAAATGACAAATTTAGCCTAAAAACACAGTGACTGAATAGTGACAGTACAATATTTTAAGAACAAATGAAGTTGACTACTTTATGACTTCCCTACCTCCTGTATATCCAAGGAAATAAAACAGGAAGAACTTAATGAACGTTTATTTTCTATTGCTAAATTATGTTAGACTGACATAGTTTCATGTTACCAACTTTTACCTGAAACATAGTTTATTACCTGAAACTTTACATATTTTATAATACTCTGGATTACTGATAGATATGCTCTGAGGTTCTGTCCTGATTTTACTTTGCAGGTGAGCTTTGTGAAGTCCTTTTTCATATTAAAGCTTTTGGATGGAATAAAATATTCCTTTATTAATTTGACTTGTATGTACCAGAAATAAAATTCTGCCATAGTAATTGCTTCATTTGTCCGTAAGGGAAGCAGGGGATTATTTAATCTAATTCCTAGTCGAAGATTTCTTTTTAAAAATTTGGTTTTCTGACACTTACTGAGGCTAATATTAAGTATAATAATTTGTATTTATTAGTGAATGACTTATTCATGAGTAATGAAATGGATATTGTGCAGTTGGGGTATGTGACAGTTAACTAAATACATGAATTATACAGACAGCCTAGTGGTGTTTCAAAGAAAGGCTCTGGTTTATCTTCCTCTTTTTAGAGGGAAATATGAATCAAAATTTCTTGGCAGTTAGTTGTGTGGGCAAAGGGAGAGAGGAAGGAGCACTTCTTTTCCAGAGCGGTTTTTGTGTCTTTTACCATAAGGAAAAGTAAAACAGAAGATACAGTGTAATGTTGGACTGGCCCTATCACATCCTCCCTTGGCTCTTGTTAGCTGACTCAATAAATGCTTAAATAAAACTGGCCCTTAACTGATACTTAATTTGCTTTGAGGATGAAAAGTAGGGGAAAGTAACTGTTATGGAAGACCTACTAACTCTTAAGCTTCAGACAGCAAGTAACATAGCTGAAATTGAGGACTGAGCAAGTTAATGTGTCTTAGTTTCCATTATGTAGACATGCTGGGATTTGAACTCAGTCTTCAGTTTCTGCTGAAAAGCAGATTGAAATTATAAGTAAATCCTCAATTATAGAGGGTATTTTTTTTTTGCAAGTGCTGTGAAAGGAAAAAGAAGTTACTGGAAATAACTTGGTATCATGGATGAAAAGTTTATAAAGTACTCTTTCATTATGACACAGTAGTAAACAGTATTTCAAGAAGCAGACTATTATTGTCTGACTTGTTAAGTGCTGTAAACACTTTTCTAATTCCTGAAAGTTTTAATGATTCAATTTATTTTGTCACCAAATACACTGAATTTTTTTGTTATAAATTGATTGTAAAGTAAGGAAGTTAAGATACTTCTTAGTACAGTGCCAGAATGAATGTAATGAGTAATAAAAAACGATTTCTGGAACCATTTTGATATGTTGATTGAAATATAATTTAAAATTATTTCATACTACAATGGGGTTAATATTCATGCCACAAGGATGTCATGAATATAAAAAGAGAGAAGAATATAAAGTACTTAGTATTGTACCTAGCACACAGATAGACTTAAATAGGTAGATGCTATTAGTATTTCTCTCTTGTAAAATCCTCTGAGGATTCAGGAGGGACGTTAGAGATAATCTGTAGGTAGCTTATAATTTGTGTTTTGCACTAAACTTGAGAGAAAATTTAGAAATGTTACAGTTCTTAAATTCTGTTATTTAACTAGAAAAGCTGAGTGCTCCTGGTGAAACACAATGATTTATAAAACAATTATGGCAGGGGTTCGTAACATCTCTATGGCAGGGGTTCTCGGATTTTGTTTCCCTTAGGAGACATTTGGCAATGTCAGGAGATACTTTTGATTGTCATGATTGAGGTTTGCTGCTGACATCTAGTGCATGGAGGCTAGAGATGCTACTGAACATCCTACAATGCACAGGATAGCTCTAACAGCAAAGAATTATCTGGTCCGGAATATCCATAGTGCCGAGGTTGCGAAACTTGGCTGTACCCTTACTTTGGGACTCTTAGTGGGTACCTTATATGTGTAATGCTGATATAAATGGCAGCAAAGTTTTTAATGATCCTCAAATACTTTTTCAGTAACGACTATGGGCCAGGCACTGTAATAGCTGCCTTAAGAGATGGTATTCACAGAAAAGAGAGTTTGTCTCATTGTGTTATAAAATCCATTCTAATGTCTGTTAATTTAGAGAAATTAAAATTTGTCTCAGGAAGAAACAATCCTTATTTCTTGGTCTTGGTATAGGATTTACATAATACTTATTAGAGCTCTATGAGTAGTTTTCTAGGGTATAATACATTTTTACTAATTCTTGCTATTAATTGGGATTATTTTTACTTTATCTTTAATTTTTATTAATGTACATAGTTTTAAGAAGTCATATAAGGCCTAAATACCAGGAATTGCATTTTGGTGCTAATGGAGACCTGGTTTAAACAAGGTGGGCATTTATTTCTTATGTAAAAAAATCTTTAATAGACAGTGTAGGGATGGTACAGTGGCCATACTATCATTTGCTCTTTCTTACCAGTCATCCTTGTCTTACCATCCCGAGTTTGTGACATGATCCAAGGTAGTTGCTTGAGTCCCAACTATCACATCTGACTTCCTAGTGGCAGGAGCTGGTTGTCTCTATGGTGTAAACCAAAACAACTTGTCCTAAATCCTACTCAGTGACCCACTTTCATCTTGTGAGTTATCCCCATCTAAAAAGAATGTTAGGAAATTTTTCTAGATTTTTGATTCTGTCAGTATGGAAGAAAACAAGAATAGATATTATTGAAACAACCAGCTTCCTTCTTTTCCTTTCTTTTTGCCACAGCTTATAACAAAAAATAGCAGTCATGTCCTGTCCTCTTCCTTTTCTACTTCTTACTCTCCAGAGGCTATCACTGGCAACTCTTTGAGTTTTGATGTTTACCTCTATATTTATAAGTAATTTTTTCCCTAGTTGTTTTAGATGGAATCAGTTGGCCTAGTACAGGAAGGACTTAGGGACTACCTTACTGTCTCACTATTGATCTCACTATTGAGCATGTTCACTATGTACACTTCGATTATACGCCGTTTTTGTTTATCCTCTTCCTTCCTCCTACTCTGTGTCCAAATGTTCAGTCTCTCAGAGAATTAGGAGTTAGTTTCCATTGTTTTGTTAGGGGAGGGACCTGGGGGAGATTTTGAACTGATCTTTTTGTTTCTGACTCTGTTTTCACTTCTTTTGGTGGTATGTGGTGC